TTTTGGATCCTCCTTTCCTTGGACATAGTTTCTGGAAACTGGAACCGCAAGAAATACATATGCCCATTCGGCCATTTGTCTTAAGTAGATAGTCCAACTGACGTCACTTTGGCTTGCCAACTGCCACCAACAAGAGGATCCCTCGTTCTGACCAATTCCTTTCTCCTTACCCACGCATAGTGCCGTTCACGGGAATGCAAGGGAACCTTCATTCTTGTCGGTACCATGGTCAATAAACCTGCAGTTTCTGAATTATTTGGCTGGTCAGCACTCAAAAAGGGTACCATTCTAGAAGAAAAAACACGCATCCTTGGAGAACTTCAAGAGAAAGTGAAAGTGCCACCGAAAACTGTACAGCTCTCCGAACGGGCCTAAGTCGAGCCCAGGCCGGGCTTGCTGCAGGGCAAGGCCCAGACCTTTGTGACGCCCATGCGGGGGAGCCCAGGCGACGGGCGACGGGCTTTCCTGTCACACCCAGAGGTAGAAGGGACGGGGATGGGGGATGGGGGAAGATTTGGTATGGAAGATTTGGGAGATTGGGGAATATGTGATGACGTCTCAGTGGGATCACCAGCCCTGCTGGTTCCCGGTCCCTGCTCAGTCCCAACAAAAAGCCAGCCGTAGCCCATAGGCACCTGCGCCGATAGGCCGTGCCAGCCTGGCGCCAGGTAAAGGTTGGATCCTTGATTTGCCGTTGTCTCTTTTTGTGTTGAGGTAGCCTTTTGGCAAGCTGCAACACATTCCACCACCATGTGGGTGTTTCTGGGAGGGAAGCCGATCCCACGTTTGGCCCTTGAGCCCTTTTCTATTTTGTTTGTTGGACATGGGCCCCTTTTCTGTTACTGCAGTTACCAATGAATTCTCATCACTATCAGGGGAACCCACGGCCCTTTGTGTTGATGCTTCAGTTCGAATCCTCTCCCATTCAAGATAGGGGAAGCCTTCTAGGTGATGCGAGGGAACCGAAAAGGACATCATATCGTGTAGTATCGTGTAGTGTAGTCATGTTTACCTGGATTGATCAGCCTGGAAGATTAAGAGGGTGCAAGATATTGCACGATGAATAGCCGCACACCGCATTTGGCAGGGTCATTTCCCCTTTTGTCGGTGATGCTCACCTATCAAGGGTCCGTGTCAAGCAAGGCCTTCTGCAAGTTCCTCCGTCCTGATGGTTTGGTTTCGCGGCTTAAGCTTGGCCAAGTACTCCAATCCCAAGTCCATCATCGGGTTCTGGCTGTTGAGCGCGCTTTGGCCGTCGGCCCGTCGGCCCGTCGGCCCGTCGGCCCACCTTAGGTTGCCCATCTTCGTGGCGGTGGACTTGGGCGGCTCCCACGGCTGGGTGGGTTTGATCGCCTCCGCGTACGCCATCGCCCAGTTCGTCGGCTCCACGCCGGTGGGCGTGCTGCGCCTTGCACGAAAAACGGACCAGAATTCGACCAGAATCAAATGGGGGGGGGGCAAAAGCTGAAGTAGTTTGGTGGGGGGTCAGTCTTTTTTCTTCAGGATCCTGGTGCATGTATTGGCATGGCCAAATCGTTGTTTTGGGCAAGCCTTCAGAATGAGGAACTTCCATTGGCCCTGCCCCTTTCGATGGCTTTCGATGGGGACGCCGCGGACAGGCGAATATTTTGTCTGATTTGGGCTTCCTTTGCGGGGTTGCCACGTGCCCTCTCAAAATCCGGGCGTCTTTGCTTGCACGGAAAATGGTCCCAGGAGGCAATTGGGGGATGAGACTGGACAGGTTGTGCACCAGCCGAGGATGAAGCATGTGCACTACGCCACGGCGGCGTGTGCTTCTTTGGCCCTTCTGGTGCCTGGGCGAATGCCTGGATTTCGGGCGAATGGCCTGGCCGCATCTTTTTCACTTGCCTGGCCGCAGCCCATGAGCCCTCCTTTGGTCAATAGCCAATGCTGTGATGAGAGATGATTAGCTTGTTGGGTCAAATGAGCTGGAGCTCTACGGACTCCATCAGTTGCTTCGGGGCTCACAAGGGAAAGCGTACTCAATGGAAATCTGAAGCTTGTTTCGTACCGACCCTCACGATTTCAAGGGCTGACAAGCCCCAATCTTTGGATTTTCTTCCTCAGCATCCATCCACACACATGTGTGTGAAGATGTCTGCAATTTTAAGATCTTTTTTGGGTCCCAGCAGTTCAAATTTAATGCAAGAAGCCCTCTTGATGCTTTACTGTAATGGACCAGCGGTTTTGGGTAGACCCCTTTCTTACGGTAGTTTTTATGTCTCGCAACTACCGAGTACCCTTTTGCCTTCGTACAAGCTGAGATCGAAGGAAACCACCCACAGGATCGCCGAGTTTAGGGCTGCTAAGCAGGAATTCCCTTTTGTTGGAACTTCAAAAATGCAAATCCAGAAATGGCTGTGGCTCAAAAACATGTACCTAAATGGCACCTTGGTAAATGGAACTAAAGACTCAGACCTGCGCAACCCTAGCTCGTTAATTTTGAGCCACACCCAAATCAGATGAAGGTTAGGAAGGGACAATCCCCACCATACGTAGCTGCAGCCGCCTTCTTAATTCCTTACATGGCTCTGGGGATCGACCATTTTAATGCCGGGTTTTGATTATGACTCAAATCCAGAAATTGAGGCCAGGGCGGGATGGGTTTCAGGGATCGATCAGGTGGCAACAGCCTTGCTGTCCTTCGCAGCGCAATCTGTGGTGGTCCTGCTGGCGGTGAGGCTTGCGGGTGGGCTGGGCAGCTCTGCCTTCGACATCTCCCGGAAGGCGGGGGATGGCGCTGGAGTCTTGCGTTTCCACTATTCACCTCGCCTGGGGGAAGTGGAGTTGCTATTTTGTTTATAGTCAGTTTTTCGTTGCTGCAAACCTCATCTTTTTTTGGGCAATGGTGTGGGAGCAGTGGCTTTGAATGGTTTGGAGGTTTGGAAGTTTGGCCAGGTTTTTGTCCAACTTGTGGGGCCTGGCAGGTTCAGCCCTAGCAAACCACGAAAAGATGCAAGAAACAAAACAAGGCACAAGTCAATTGACACCATCGTTCATTCAGTCAATGTGTGGCGATCTCCAGGCCTACATCGCGGCAGAGGTGCCGCCCGTGCAGCGGGGCCGGGTGTCGGCGCTGCTGGCGAGTATGCAGAAGTGGGCCATCATGCCCTTTGGCGGGGGCAAAAGGGTGGCTGGGTTGGATGGCCGTGGATTTTTTTAAGGGGGCTGCAACAGAGCCGCGGCGGACATTCGTGATAGACCTCGTTACACACTCCACGTTACATACCTTTTGTGCTATACTTCGTCACACACCTCGTTACATAGCCGTTACATACCTTGTTGCAGCCCCCCCTTTTTGACGTCGCTTGGCTTGCGTTGGGCCCTTGCAACTTTCAAGCTGGAGATGCGGATGTGCTTCAGGTGCACAACTTTCGAGGTGGAGGATGATGACGTGTTGGTGATTTTGACGCGGGTGAGGATCATGACGACGTGGGCGATGATGATGTTGTTGTTGGTGTTGATGATGATGATGATGCCCCCAGCATCACCAGCCAGGAGAAGACAAGGAAGCCTGGGGAAAAAAACACCTGCTGCGCCAAGACATCCCCAGCATTACTCAGTGCCCAATGTCACATTTGAAACCGAGATGGCAAAATGATAAGTTTGTTGGCGTAACCTACACATGCGGGTGTGTAATGGGAAACATTGCTTGACAAGTATCAGTAGCACAATGTAGCAAAGAGCCGCAGCCAGTCTTTGCGAGTTTCCGCTAGCTGCAAGGGCTGGAGCGAGGGACTTTTTGCACAGACGCACGCGCTACCAACGGGCTGAAGTATTTATCCAGGGCTTCGGCGCAGAACTTCTTGTCTTCTTGCTGTCAGCGCGCAAGGCAAGGCCTGCCCATGAGGAGCGCTGGAGGCTGTGGAGCGGGCATACCGTGAGTGTCAGCGCCTCAGCGATACCAGCTGAATGGCTGGGGGGACCCAACGCCCAGACGCTGGATCGCATCCTGAAAGTCGATGTCGGCTACTGCAAGCAAGCCGCGCGAATCTCGAACCCAGGATGCAGGGTAGGTGCTATTATGCCCCTTCCGGCGGAAGCAGACAAGAGCGGTAGGGCTGACGGAGTGGCTGCTGCGCGGCTTTCCAGACATGCCCCAGCAGAACTACGCCGCGAAGCTTTACATAGCAGACCTTCGCCAGCAAGACAGCACGGCGGCGCTCTTTTTGACCTGCGCGCCGAGCTTCTTCGAGATGCTGCTGCCGGCAGTGGTCGAGCAGCCAATACGCCGGGGGCGCGTATCAGCGCTGGGCGGCAGTCGAGTTTTAATCAAGGGAAATTAAAGGTAGAACCACGCATGGCCGCGTGGCCAATGTACTTTACTGACCTGAAAAATGGTCGGGGGACGTTCGCCCCGACTGCAGCCTTCCGCATGCAACATTGTTGATAATGCTTGGGGGGCGTTGTTGGTGATGCTGGGGGTGTTGTCAGTGTTGTTAGGGCTATTAGGGCCGTGACTGACGGCAATGCTGGGGTTGTCGCTGGTTGGCGCGGCTCCATTGTTCGGCTTTTGCACTGAGACAAGGGTTAACTCACGATGAATTCGATGCGATGGAGCCGCTAGGCTCGGTATACGTGCGTGCCCGCCCTGCCTAACTAGAAGGGGTTCTAATGGGGGGGTGAGGGAACTTATTGCCTTTTCTCAATTAGGCGTTTGGTGCGAAACGAGAATAATATGAGTAGCCAGCCATAGGGATGGAACCTTGTGTCACAGATTTCGGGCGATCTTGAACACCCATACTCGAGTGCCAAATTTGCTGTTCATCCTCTTCCAATGCTTTTCAGCGTCTTGTGTTAAGGATTGCCTACTATCATGGCGCATATCTGTCTGAAAAATGCGGGGACCGCAAAACGGTTGGTCTCTTTTGATAACAGAAGAGGGGTTCCCCAAAAAGGAACCACACCTGTATCGGGGTGGCCCTACATGGGTTCTAAGGAATGGGTTCCACTAGAACCCATTGAAAGGGTCCCTGAATAGTCCCGAGGATCGCAGCGCTGCTGAGCGGTGTGGTGGCGCAGCATGTGGCGACGCGGGGGATTTTTCTGGTTCAGGCAGGCCTTCCTTCCACAGCCCTCAGCGGCCTTCTGACGCGACAGAACCTTTTGCGGCCTTGGCCCTTCAGGCCTTGTCTCTTGTCTGGGTCTTACTAGGCACTTTGTGGTGCGACTATTTGGTGTACTAGTATGAAGATGGAGATGACCTGTAAGGTCCCCCTTTGCTTGGGCATGAGGGCAGGATCATTCTGTCGACTTTGCTTGGCTGCGCAAGCCTGCAAGTTTTTTTGCGGCGTGTTGATGTGGCTGCCATTTCCCCATTGGTAGTGGAGAATAGCTCTAGGGAAAGCTTTTTGGCTGAGTCCCTAGACAATGTCCCACCAACTAACATGGAAGTGCAAAAAGTTTCTTTCCAAGAGGAAAGTAGTCTTTCTACAGGGGTCCGTGCACTTCCATGTTGGCTGGAGGGTAATGTCCTACAAGAAAGCAACGGTCCTTGAACTGTTGCAGGCCGCCTTGTCGTTCCTGGCCCTCGTGTGCATCGGCTCAGATGCCCTGTGCAACCGGGCGAAGAGTGCCGAAAGCGAGGAGCGGGGTCCAATTCTTCAAACGAGCCGACCCCACCAGCCCCTTTGGGTAAGGGAATCAAAAGAAGGTGCACTAAGTCTTTTTTGAATATACAATAATAATAATACTAATACTAATAATGATAATAATACCAATAATAATAATATTAATAATAATAATAATTCATGATACCAATAATAATAATAGTAATAATAATAATAGTAACAACAATAATAATAATAGTAGTACTAATAATAAATATATAATAATAATAATAGTAATAATAATAATAGTAGTAATAATAATAATAGTAATACCAATAATAATAATAATAGTCATAATATAATAATAATAATAATAATAATAATAATAATAATAATAATAATAATAATAATAATAGTAGTAATACCAATAATAATAATAGTGATAATAATATAATAATAATAATAATAATAATAATAATAATAATAATAATAATAATAATAATAATAGTAATACTAATAATAATAATACCAATAATAATAAGAACAATAATAAGAATAGTAATAATACTAATAATAATAATAATAATATTAATATTAATAATACTACTAATAATAATACTAATATAATAATAATGATAACAACAATAATATTAATAATAATAATAAGAATAATAATCACAATAATAATAATAGTAATAATAATGATAACAACAATACTATTAATAACAATAATAGTAATAGTAATAATAATAATGATACCAACAATAATAACAGTAATAATAATAATACTAATATAATAATAAGGATAATAATATTAATAATAATAATAAGAATAATAATACCAATAATAATAATAATACTAATACTACTAATAATACTAATACTAATATAATAATAATGATAACAACAATAATATTAATAAGAATAATAATAATAATAATCACAATAATAATAATAGTAATACTAATGATAACAACAATAATATTAATAACAATAATAGTAATAGTAATAATAATAATAATGATAACAATAATAATAACAGTAATAATAATAATAATACTAATAATAATAATAATAATAATAATAATAATAATAATCATAAATAATAATAAAGATTAACAAGGACAACACAACATTAGAAAAACAAGCTTGCGGCCTGTCGCTTTTTCAACGTGGGGTTGGACCTCTGGAGGTGGATGACGCGCCCTCAGAGCGCAGTGACGGCGAGGGCCGGGACACGTCGCTGCGGGCGGTGCTGAGGGAGAATTGGCGCGGCCTGCTGGGGGCGGGGCTGCGGCTGGGCGAAGATGCGGCTGTGGGTCAAAACTAAACCATGTTGGGCCCATTTTAGAACCTATTTTAGTGGGGCATTGGGATGTTTACTGGGTGTACGGGATTTTGACCCATGGCCATGGCATTTTTCCACGAGCTGAGTCACCAGAGGCTTTTGACCTGACTGATGTGAAGGTTTCGCAGACTGCGAACACCGGAGGGGTTGGAGCGTGGTGTGTTCATTGTTGCTCGCAAGGTGTTAATTGGGAAATTGGATGACTCCGCATGTCTTTGCATCTTCAGCTGGTGATGTGTTGTCTTACGGCCCAGCCTTAATTTGGCCTCCAAAGAGCTCAGTGAACTTGAACCCAATTCGACCCGTGTTGGCTGTTTGGTTCAGGCCAACCGGATTTCATGCCAGGAGCCATTTTGCTTTTTGAGCTTCTAGCGGGGCTACCGGGCTACCCATCTGTTGGGAGTCTTCGGTGTTGCAACCTCGCTCCCAGGTACTGCGCCATGCTCAACGGCATCCGAAACACCTGGATGGTGGCAGTGCCCTTGCAGGCCCACCACATTGGCCTCAGCAAGGCGGCTCGTGCAGGGGCCACCTGTTTCCGTGTCCGGCGGTTGTTGGGGTGACCCTGCCCCTTCTGTTGGTTTTAATGGCAAACCCAAAGGCAAGCGATCGTTTCCGGGTTCCCGGTTTTTTGGAGACGAGACCAGCTGAGTGGCCTCGCGTTCTATTTCTGTTTGGTTTCGAATGGAATTCACCTACCGAATGGATTCTTAAGCAACTAAGCAGCGGGCGCTGGCTGGGCCGGCCTCTCTGTAACCTTGTGGTAGCTCTCGCCGAAGCCAGGAGAAAATCCCCATGAGTGCCCCGGGTCCCAATTGGGCGGTGCTTTTTCGTTTTGAGCGGCTGAGATGGGCATCGGTGGCGTGGTCGCCTGGTACCGTGCTTGCGATGCCACCGTCACCGGCCTGGCCGCAGGTGGGGGTGCCACTGGTTGTGGCCCATGCGAAATGCGTAGTCCCCAGGGAGATGGAAGGATTGTGAAACCGATCGTTTAAGACCGCGCAGGTGGCTGTAAGGGCCACCTCAAGGTTGCGATCCCTTTTGCGACCTCAGTTGCCTTCTCAGAAATGGTGGGTTGCATAAATTTCCATGTACATCATGCCTACAAGTTTGAGATTCATGCCATCACACATCGCCCGGATTTGACATCGTTTGGATTTCCCACCCCAAAAAGGTACCTGGAAAGAGGCACACGCCCAGGTTTTTCCCCGAATCCGCGCTCAACAGTAGCAGCTGGAGTTTGTGAAGGTTCCAGTAGAAGTTTCTTGAGGTGCACCTGCCAGACTCTCACGGCAATTGGGGACGTCCGTTCATTTCGATTGCTAAAAATAGCCCTGCTTTTGGATGATTTCCAAGGGGAAACTAACAGAAAGCATAGTCACACGAGTTCGGCGGCTTGATTTCCCGACGCACTTCTTTGGTGCAGCTTGGTTGTAGCTTCTGCTGATTGCTGGAATGACTGTGGTGCAAGGCCTGGTCCGTATACGCGCTCAATAGAATTGGAGGTTGTAAACGTTGTGATTATATTTATAGTTCCCTTCTTCTTTTGTCGTAACATCCCCCTTGAGTTTGGGATGTTGTCTTCAGATTGGAACCCTCAAAATGGGGCCCTGGTGTTCTTTTTTTTTCTCCCCCCTTTAAAGAAGCCAACCCAAAATAGGTCTCATTCAAACGAGCATCCACGAATGTCAGAGTGGTCTTATTTGTTGCACTTGTGAGTGAAACCACTCCCAAACCTCCTTTTCACCTTAGCGTGTTACTTACAATGCAGTGCTACAAGTGTAGACGACTGCCTGAGTGCGTGGGTGCGGTGTCTCTATGTCGCCAAGTTATGTGCGTCAGAAAGTGCTGGGTTTCGCTTTTGGTGCTGCATTTCTTGCGTCTCGGAGTCTCGGAGGTGGGCTGTCCAGTAATGATGCCTACAAGGGCCGGCGGTGTCCCGGCAATGTGTTAAATATATGGTTGAGTCGCCTGCCCCTTGCCGGCCCTGGCTAGGAGGTGGGACAGCTGTTGTTTGGCCTTTTCTTTGCATGGGCACTGCAGCGCAGTCTCTCAGTCTCTGCAGGGTGTTTTTGTAGTGCAAGGCGGTCTGCCGTTTTTGCGAATTAGCCCAAACGAGGCCGCCCCGAACATACTAACCCGCGTGGGTGGGTGTGGCCTTTGCTTTGCGTGAGGCCCTGCTTTCGTGGCTTTGCTCCGAAACCCCAACAAATTGATGGGTGTGTTTGAGGGCGCCCCTTTTTTTTAGGCGACCTCCACGTTAGGGGAGACGCCTCTCCGATCAAAGCGCCGCAGCGAAACCCCTTGGGGCCTGGAGGCCACCTCATGGACCGCTACGGGCTGAAGGCCAGAGGGGTGAACCTCCCAGGAGCTCTGGGGATTTTCTCCGTGAGGGTTCCCCGATAAAAAGAAGAAACAAAGTCAGCAACAGCCCTGAACGAAGTAACTGTCATGGACTCACCAAAAAGCGGCTCCGCTTCTTTACATGGAAGCCTAATCCTGTGTGCTATTTTTGTGTTGCTGTCCTACGCGGCGGTTTTGCGGGGCTTCCGCAGAGGTATTTTGACCACTCAAATGTTTTCATGAACCCAGAAAACTCATATTCTAGGGTGACAGGTATTTTTAATCCCTTTTTCGAATGACAAATTAAGGCCATTTAGCACCCAGTCGACAGCCGAGGAGTTGCGGTTTGGCCGGGCATGCCTTCAGAAACCAATTTCATTGGTTTTTTGACTCTTTTACTTTCAGGCTGGCTCCATTGAACCATCCAAAACTCCTTGAAACATGGATTTTGACCTGGATATCTCAATTTTGTTGTTCTCGTTTGCGACACATAGAAGCATCCTGAGAAATCCGGACCCCCCCCCCTCCGACCCGCCCCCGCCATCAAAAGAAGGAACAAGACAAGTCAACACGTTTTGAAGCCAACGAACGAGGGGGATCATCCCCACGCTCCATTTGTTTCGTTTTGCTGCGACTTTGGGGTCCACAGGCTTGGATCCTGTTGGTTGGAAACACATCCCTGTTTCCCCGGTTTTTCTTGGGGAAACCAGAGCTGAGGCGAATTGTTTGCCATGTAGCTCCTTTACTTGGAGATCCCTTTCGGGTTTTAGAATGATTTTATCACAAGTGCAGAACATTGCTAACGGATATGATATTCACCTGCGAGTGATTTAGCGGCGGCGCAAGCCATAGTTTAACCGCCTGGTTCTCAGTAGGAATGAGATGAACCTAGCGATTCTCTGAAAGGAAAGTGCAAGGGATAGCGAAAACAGCCTTCCTTCCTCACTCCCTGTGAATCAACAAGTTACTGTACCTTCACTCTTCCTGGCAAGTTTTCTTCTTGGCAAGTTTTTGTGGGTTCATTTTTAGCAACCATACCATACCCAAGGGTTGCTACACCAAGTTGTGAAGTTGCACAAGGGCTTGGCTTCTCAGGCAACTGCGATACCCTCAATGTTGCTGATGAGCCTGGCCTTTGGCCTGCTGGCGCTGGCGCAGGTGGGGAGAAATCCCGAAGCTGCTGGAACCAGGGAAGCAAGTTTATTGTGTGTATATATATATATATAAGGATATATGTATGATCCATAATATATATATATATATATGTATGTATGTATAGATAGATAGATAGATAGATAGATAGATAGATAGATAGATAGACAGATAGATAGATAGATAGATAGCTGCAGATACTCTCATGGAACGATCTCCATACGACTCATTGCTTGAATCCAACAAAACAATGCCTTCACACACTGATTTGCGTGTTTTGGTTTTGCGTTTTTCACCAGACGTATTTCTCTTCGCAAAAGAGACAATCGCGCGCTTCTCCAGTCCGAGCTGAGCCTGGTGCTGGTGGCGGCGGTCTTCGGCCTGGGCAACGGCCTCTGCGGCGGCATCCTCAACGCCTTTGCCGCGGGGCTCACGCCCCGCCACGCGCGGACTCAGTTCCTAGGGCTTTGGCCGCGCGGCGGGATGGGGTTCGACATGTTTTTTTTTTTTTTCCCTTTCTTTTATTTTTTTGCAAACAGCATCTTTTCTTGGACGAAAGGACGAGGAGAAAAAACGGTGACTTTGCGACTTTTTCCCTTTCCCTTCGCCTCTGGGTGTCTTTTTGCTTGCGAGGAAGACGGTGACCTCCGTGGGCGGCATCTGTCTGCCGCCGTTGTTCGGCGTGGTCTCGGACGCCTCCAACCTGGGCCTGGCCTCGGGGGTCCTGGCGCTCTGCGGCTTCGCCACCGCGGCCTGGACGCTGCTGGCGGTGGCCGAGGCGTTTGGATCCGGGCGAGAGGGGAGTCGTGGGGCGGGGGATGTGGCCGCTTTGGCGAATGTCGACCCCCCTCTTTTTATTTGTTTTTTTGGTCGATCCGCCGGGCGAGTGAGGGGAGTCGTGGAGACCGATCTCAGCATCTCGATTTGGTCCAACTACTTGTCCGGAGACCATGTAGCCCATTGGCAAGGGTTCTGAACTAGCCAAAGGGCACTTTTTTCGGGGCGGGACGCGTACGCATGGGGTCAACATTAAGGAAACCGGAGTGGATGCATAGGGATTCCACAGGGCATCTGGAGAACAAGCACGTGGTTTCTCCGTTGCAGGGCTTTCCTGTATCGGCTGACAGCTTTGGGTTCTTTGCCCAGACAGGCCTGGATTTTTGTGTTTCCTTCAAGGCTAGTCATAAGGTTTCCCTTCATAGCCAGCCGGCATGTTTATTTTTAGGTTTCCGATCTCCTGCAGTACTGGAAACCTAGCAGGAGGCAGTCCCAACCTTAAAACGTGCGTATTGCCCTTTTGTCTTTTCCGCTTTTTGTTTTGTTTTTTGAAGCTTGTTTGTTTTATTGTTGGGCATTGCCGTACATGTGTATGTGTATTTTTACATACACATTATACATGTTTTTTCTCAGTATTGTGTCGCCTTTCGTGGTGTACTTCATTTAAACGCAAGGCTGAGCAGTCCTTTAGGATATCCCTCAAACACAAGCACAGGAGGATTCCTTATTTTCTTCAAAACCCCAGACAGAAGGGGGCTCATCCCCCCACTTAAAACCATTAGTAGTTTGTTTTGTTGTTTTGCGGGGAAAACTGGCAAACTGAATTGGGGCGCTTCCCTCGAATCAAGACAACATTCTCAATGCCACGGATTCCACAAATTCTGCTCCTTTAGCAGGGCTCCTTCAAAGATTTTGCCCATTTGAAACATGGCTTTTTCCACCAAAATAAAGGGAGCCCAGCGTGTATAGTGTAAAGATAAACACTGTTTAGCACTCTTTTAGCACTATCCAAGAGGGGGAATCCACAGGAGGGGCATCCAAGACAGACTTGACAAGACTCCCATCCAGGTTGGGACCCACTCGACCGCTCCAGAAGCCGAAGCGCGCTCAGTAGCGCTGGTGGCGAATCCGGCCACGCCGCAGTCGCAAAGCACGGCGGCCAGCGCGTGAGATCACGGGGAAGCGCAGAAGCCACTTGACGTTGACCCCTGAAGAATGCCCCCTCAGTGCAAAGGCGGAGGCTTTTGTAGCGAGGATCGGGGACTCTTTTTGATGAGGATCCCTTTCTTCCAGGGGGACCCCCCTGCTCAGGACTGGGGGGTTCTGCCATCAGGGCTCCTTGAATTACTCCTTTTGCTATTTTCAAACGTCACCTTTTGGTTCCAATTCTAAGTGAGCTTCCTGTTGGGTGAAAGAGGGAATCTACAGAACCCTCTTAAAGCATGGGAATTCGTGGTTTGCTTTGTGGGATGCCTCCTGCCTCTCTCGCCCGTCTGTCCCTTTGAGTTCAGCAAGTAGTACGAGGTTGCGCATTTCATTTGCGGATTTGCACCCTTGAAACTTGAGCAGGCAGGATCCCACAAGGCTTGGTTTTCCTTTTGCCAAAGAAGCGTGCCAAGCGGCCGAAGGGTGGGCTCCAAGGCGTGGCGCAAGTGTTTCGGCCAAATGGCCCAGATGCGAGCCCAAGACCGCTCGGGGCTTCTCACCCGAACCCGGCAGCGGAGAAAAACAAAACAATCGCGGCAACAGATCGGCGATTTGGTTTCTGGGGGAATGAGCGAGCCGCGATGGTGGCTACCATTTGGTGGGAGATTTCACCTTTATGGCTGACAGCATTCAAGGCGGGTCCTTATAGTCTTTGGGTTTATGTTGCTTATCTCACCTTTTACCTGTTTGGGAATCTGCACATTTTCCGCCAACTGACCACACAAAGGTCGTTGCATCCTGCGGCATTTGCAATTGGATCGATCCCAGTCCGGTCCGGTCCGGACCCGTAACAGTGATTCGCCTGGCGCCTCAGAGAGGGTCTGTGACTTTTTTGGGCGAGTTGGACATAACGTTTGACGCGAAAGGGACACCAAGCAGGTGACAACCAAAGAGGACCTTTCGGCTGCAAAACACGGTTGAGTTTTTCTTTGGGATGCCTTCTTTCAAGTTGGACACAGCAGGAAGCCTGTCACCACCAAGTCTGCGCCCCGCAAAGTCTGCATTCATCTTTGAGGAAGCGCCTCCCGCGAGCTTGAAAGAATTGACTTTACCACGCATCAAACAACAGCAGTATACTGAACAAGCATTCCGTCAGAGCACCCTTCCACAGCCTTTGGAGGCCTTCGCGTATTTTTTGCTGAGGTCTTTGGGACTCATGGCGACGGGGGTGTGCTGTGCTCAGGCGTTGCCGGTATGGCTTGACGGGCTTGGCCCGAGGTAAACAACGGGGCCTTTTGGAGGAAATCCAAAAAGGAATCAACATGTGTGTGTGTGTGTCTCTGTGTCTGTGTGTGTGTGATTGTTTTTGAAGCTACTATATGCTGGGGTTTGCTTTCGAGGGAAGCCAACCAAAAACCGCGAAATAGGGGACCCCCTTTAAGACAAACGCAGGTCTCCTGAATCTGTTTTACGACACCAAAGAATCAAGCTCAAGCGTGCCTTTGGGTTTCTGGGGTCAAGCATCAGCAGCCGACTTCTGTGGTCAAGCCTTCCGATGATTTTCCGTGGCGGCCAATTTCTAGATCTTTGGAACATTTCGGTTAGGATTATCGGTTTCTTATCAGCCGCAATCTTTTTGTCATGCTTGTTTTTTTGCTTTAGTTTTTTCTTTTTGTCAAGATTCAGAATCAGCATTCCTCGCCTACGTGAGTTTCCGTCAACATTTGCGGCTGGTCAACTTGTTGGGTTTTGGAGGGCTTCCTGGCTTAGGTCAACGGTTCTGAATGGGAAGCCATGTCCATTCAGAGATTTAAATCATGGCACAGCCCTGGCTGAGGTACAATCTCAAGGTACTGAACGAGAATTGGTTCGAGGCTTGGAGCCTCCGGACGTGGTGTCTGACTGGTCAAGGACTTGTCAAATTTCTAGACGGTCCAGTGACGGTCCATGGGTACAGCAGAGTTTGACTCTGGCACATATGGAACCCCCAAAATGAGGGCCAGTTGAATCTTGGTTTGCCTTCGCCCCTGTAACCCGGTCTTGGGGTTATCCGGGTTCTTTTTCTCCTAATATGGTTGTACAGGCAAATGGGGTGCAAGTCGCTGTTTGGACTTCGAGTACGCATTTTCAGATGGCTTTCAACAGGCTCCGGGACCGACAATCCCCGAAAGACCTCCCCCAACCAGTAAGGCCAATTGGGCGCTCGCAAGGCTTATTAACGCCCAACTCTTGGAGGGTGCTTGGTAGCGTCATTTTTTCGGACTCGAAAGAGCCAGCCACCACAAACTCATGCACCACCGCAAACAGGGTTGAGGGGAGATCAACTTGGCAATCCTGGTAAGGGAAAGCCACAGAAGCAAAATGACCGACATACGCTCGTGCTTTGATCCTGATATTTTGGGACGGCTCGGAGCAACCTTGGCAATCCTTCCCTTTTTGGCCTGGATTGCACTTCAACTGGGCGAACCCGAAAAGTGGGGGAACTTGCGCCGCTCAGACAGTTCAAAAAGATTTGTGGCTCTTAGTGGTTAGGGATGCAGTGGATTTGTGACGGAGATCATCAAAGGGGTCTAGGTGAAAAGCTCACGACCAATAGGGGACCTCCAAAAGCGATACCCTGAAAATATTGTGCCTTGCTCGTCGAAAGAGCAGCCGCTTTTATTTCTGGTTGGGGCTGTCCCCCACTAGCCAACTACCAAGCATAACTTGATTGCGGCACAATTGGTGCTTCCAACATCTGAGCAAATGTGTGTGTGTGTGTGTGTGTGTGTGTGTGTTGTCTGTATCTATATGTGTATGTGTATGTGTATGTGTATGTGTATGTGTATGTGTATGTGTGTGTATGTGTGTATGTGTGTGTGTATGTGTGTATGTGTGTATGTGTGTATGTGTGTATGTGTGTATGTGTGTATGTGTGTATGTGTGTATGTGTGTATGTGTGTATGTGTGTATGTGTGTATGTGTGTATGTGTGTATGTGTGTATGTGTGTATGTGTGTATGTGTATGTGTGTATGTGTATGTGTCTGTGTCTGTGTCGGTGTTTGTGTCTGTGTCTGTGTCTGTGTCTGTGTCTGTATCTGTGTCTGTGTCTGTGTGTGTGTGTGTCTGTATCTGTATCTGTGTCTGTGTCTGTGTCTGTCTGTGTGTGTGTGTGTGTGTGTGTCGGTGTCTGTGTCTGTGTGTGTGCACATACATTTTTGGCACATAGATATTTGCAGGAGGTGACTTGGTGCGAAAAGCAGACCTTTGGGGACGTGAAAAGCACACCAACATGAGTCAATCGGTTGGACTTCTTTTCGGGTGCGACACATATGTGGTTGACCCCTGGCTCCGGGTTTGTCATTTTTCAAATGAATCCCCGGGATGCAAATGTTGCCTCATGAGCCAGGGGGAGTAATGAAATCATCCTCTTTTGGGAGGTATGCCAGTCCAAAGAAGGTTGCGCAAAAGGACACCCTGAAAAGGGCCAACTTGCAAACCTTCCAGGATTTCCTGAAAAGCCAATGTGCTTGGGCATGATTTTTAATCGGGAACCACCTCAACAAGTCGCTCACTACCGCAATGTCCAAAAAGTCGGGACTCCGGGACGGAACAAAAATCGTAGTTATCTTCCGAGTGGCTTCCGCTCCCTCCCGTCAGGATCGCTGCCAGCCGTCCGGCGCCTTGTGCGCGACCACCGGCCTTGACAGGCGACAACAAGGGAGGGCCGCTGGTAAGGCGTTTTGGGGGTCCATCCTGTTGGTCATCTCATGTTGGCTGTTCAGCTGAACGATCACTAGTTTGCTCCTGTCATGACTAACTTTGGTTTTAAAGCACGCCACAACCCCATTCTACTTGCATAGGCCCTTATAGTAGCTCCGAAAACCCCCCGCCAAAACACACATCCACACACACACACATACAACAAATAGCGTACCGGAAAGCACCATGCAATGCATGTTGGGACCGGCGCCACCACAAACCGGACTTTTTGGGGTTCTATCACATACTCGCCTGCAGCACCTGTCGTGCAACGGCGCTTTTAAGCCTTTGGAGTTCTGAAGCGTTGGTCAACCCATGAAAGGCAATCGCGGTGTTGTGTTCTTTTTTGGTCGGATGCTGGTTTGCGCACTGGGATTGACACTCAAGCGTTGTTTCCTTTGTCAAACGTAAGGCTGGACCCTTGTGTCTCTTACTGCCAACTTTGAGCGGGATCCAAAAAGGGAACTTTGGTTTGAAAAATATTTCTGAAATCCCGGTAGACCTAGAGACCTCGCTTTTCACAACTACTTCGAAATCTCACAACTGCGAGTGTCTGGGATTTGTAGACCTCGCAAATCTCCGATACACTCCCAGACACTCCACCTGCTAAGCCTCCTCTCAGCGGAAGATACTTTTTCGATCGAAGCTTGAGCCACAATCCGTTGCCAGATTTACACCCCTGCAAATTAATTCCTCTACCTAAATTTACCTTTTTGGTTCCGTGTTTACTTGCAGGAGTGCAACATAACTGAGCCTTTTTGCCCTGTGGCCCTATTGCGTTTCCTTTATCTTAACTTTCAACCAGCAAAGCAAAAGCAACTTTTTGCAGGGGCCAAGCAAATGACTCTGTAACTGGATTTGTGTGTGCTACCAGGTTTATGTCATAACTATAGAAAGGTTTCTTTTTTGCAGTCTCGGCAGAAGACAATCGCTTTTCCATTGGACATGGCTGGGATCAGGTGGAATTCCGAGAGTTCAGCTCCCAGTTGCAGAAAGTCTCGACATGGCGTAACAAAAGCGATCTCGCCCATGGCAACCGCCTGGTGCTGGGGGTTCCCTTATTTCCAGGAGGTGGTTTCCAGGAGCAGTCAATATTCATCCGCAAGGACTGTCCCCAGAAGCTCCAGGGTTTGGAAATGTAAGCGCTGCCCTTGTTTAGGCGATTTGGCTCCCTCCCCCTCCCCTCCCTCCCCCCCAGCCCCCCTGTAGTCACCTGTTGCCTTTGGAATCCAGCTTCAACCTTTGGGGTTCAGGTCTAAAACCCCGAGCTTCCTTTTTCGGGCGGGCTGCTTGCACTGGGAGAAAAAGGGATCCCGTGGATCAAAAACTTTTTTTTTCCCGAGCCCTCTGACCACAAAACCAGAGCTTCCTTTTTGGCTGATTCTTACGGGAATATAGGGATCCCGTTGATAAAAGACATTTTTTTTTCTTTTTTCTCCCGAGCCCTC